ACATGTAGAAAAAGTCTGGACTGTTGCTATACTCTTCTCAGTAGCGAGAATCCAGCAAAGATCACCGTTAGAACACAATGGGCAATCCTGAAAGAGGTGAAAAAGAACCCAAGTATTGCGGCAAAAGACCTTCAGAAAAACACTGAACACGGTTCATGAACGGACAACATAAAGGAAACCATTGCTGCCAAAAAAAAATATGGATATGTCTCATCTTTGTCCAAGATCATGTTACACAGCACTTCTGGGAAAATATTCTGGGGACAACTGAGAAAAGTTTAACCTTTTAGCAAAAACGCAAAAAGGGGCACTGCAAACCAACACTAAAACCTCTTCCCAACTGTGAAGAATGGTCGAAGGACCATCATGGTTTAGCACCGTTTTGCTGCCTCGTTTATTCAGATTGTAAAATTAAATCAGACCAAACTGAAAAAAAAAAAATCAATGCATAAATTCAGACATTTTCAAAGGGTTCACAGACTTATTCTTACTACTTTAAAGGCAAATAAAACACTGTACACACCTTTTCATTTATTATTTATTTTGTTGAAAAACTAAAATCAATAAATACATTTATAACACTGACAAAAATAATATTCAATTTTGGTACAAGCAATAAATAGACAAAATATTTTGCTTTGCTTCAGATTACAACATAAACCTTAAAAAAAGTGTTTAGCAATTTGTTAGGAATGTGTACATATCAGCATTTACTAACTAAATGCAAATAAAAACCTTTAATCGTCATTCAACAAGAATTTGTAAACAATGAAGGCTAAAATCAATTTACTACACACTTAAACCACTTAACGGAACGGTGAATTGCATTAAAAAAAAAAACAGACAATCAGTTTGGACCATTCATCACAAAATGTACAAAATATAGACTGTTTTTTAGCAAGAGGACTGAAACAAACCTGTACAGAAAAATTCAGTGACTGCGTAATCATGTTGATATAACACTGTTAAGATTAACTGACAGCATGTAGAATGATGGCCACAACCTTGTTGCAGACAACTAGCCAGCATGTGATTCCAACACCACCTGACATAAAGCAGCAAAAAGCACTTCATAAGCCTTTAAACTCCATGTAATTATATTTATTTCATCCAGACGGCATGTCAATCATGTATTTAAGATGCCAAGTTATTCACATTTTAAAGGGGTCATATGATGCGATTTCAAGTTTTGCTTTCTCTTTGGAGTGTTACAAGCTCTTGGTGCATAAAGAAGATCTGTAAAGTTGCAAAGACTAACGTCTCAAATCCAAAGAGATATTCTTTATAAAAGTTAAGAGTCAGCAACGCCTACCTAAAACGCCTCGTTCTAACACGCCCTGGCCAATCAGAGCAGACTGCTTGTCAAAGGAGGGGCTTTGTTGAAAACGAGCGTTTGAGAGAGGCGGGGCATAGAGGACCTACAATAATGTACAGTATTTGGAAAATAATGTGTTTTTTGAACATTAAAGCTTGTCAACATATTCTGTTACACCAAATAATGATCTTTAAAATAGCATCATATGACCCCTTTAAATCAATTTATCCTACTATCCTTCCAAAATGGCAATCAAATACCACTGGTGACTTGGATATACCTGCAATTCCAGAAGGAAAGGCTACTAGTCCCTCCAGTGGAGCAATCCATTTACTAGGCACCACTGTGACCGGAACTGCATAATACTTCAATATGAGCGAGATCATGAGCGCCGCCTAACAACAGACAGCAAAAAATAAAATAAAATGCCATCATGAGAGAAAATGAACAACTGATGCATACATCAATCATATCAAAGCACAAATTAAAACATTAATCCTCACCCACCTGAAGAATGTAAAACACAATATTTACAATCCATTTCATTTTTGCCTGCTGTGAAGTTCTTGATTTGACTGTAAAAAAGAAAAAAGACAGACAGACAATGAATATAACCAACATTTCTGTCTACTCATGGTTTCCATTTAAACAGGCTTCTTCAAATCCAGCCCTGGAGAACCCTGCTATGCAAATAAATGTGAAATGGATTGAATTGAAACCACTCGATTATCGATACGGAATATTTTTTACAATTTTAATGGATGGACAGAAACTCTCAGGTTTAAAGTATCTTCATTTGTGTTTCAAAGATGAACCAGAGTCTTATGAGTTTGGAACGATATGAGGTTGAGTAAATGACAGAATTTTCATTTTTGGGTGAGCTATGCCTTTAACAAGTTATATCTATGCTATTCTCCAATAACTTGAAGGACAGCAACAGACAGCAGCCAAGCCATTTGTCTTATTTCATGAATGCTTAAGCCGTTATCTGAAACCCACCTGCCATTTTCCACACTTGGCCTGAGACTTTGAATTCTCCACTGCAAAGTGACGAAACTTTTGGTTTCTCAGTTCTTCTCGCCCCACTATAAAGTGGACAAAGGTAGTTTATATGCTTCCAGTGAGGTGTGCTGGTGACTGCAAATATCTTAACACTTGCCCATTGCTTCTTGTTTTCAACAGTGCAATACTACACATGTCGTTTGCAATACAATTTGGCTGTTTTGTGGGTTTCTTTCTGTGTTTTGCTGGTTAGAAAGCAATCATTTGCGGGTTTCCATCCAAAGTTGCGAATTTAACTTATGTGCAAAATTGGAAAAATCACAAAGCATTTGCGAATAATGCTGCGTTCAAGTCCTCCTGGGACATTCGTACTTACGAGTTGACAAGTCGTAATTATGACGTCAGGTGCGTTCAAGTCAGTTTAGTCGGAACAAGATGGCGGTGTACCTTCTTTTAATAAATTACAAGAAAATACAACAGGGTCTGTTAACTCTGCTTATAGAAAATGAAGAGCAAAGAATTCGCATCAGGTGTGTTTTGCGTTTTTAATATTTTTAAAAAGTAATTTATGAAGCCACTTTAATCTGAAAAACTTCATCAAAACTATCAATTTAAACAAAAATTTACCGTCAACTAAAGACGTTGCATCCATCGATTCCGCCATGTTTCCCACTCGTAATAACGAATTTGTGGTGGCATTCCTATGCGTTCAACTCGTAAATACGATCTATCCGACATGACTTGAACGCACCATAAGCACCGTTTCCATTCAACGAGTCAAAGAGAACAAAATCGTCACTTCCTGATAAACTGGCACTAAATATCACTAGGAAAAGTTAAAGCCACTGAATACAATAACTTTCATATATAATAAATTATTTGCACCTCAGACGAAACACAATAAATGAGGTCATTGCTTTAGGTTATGCCGTCCCATAGCGCAAAGTCACATGACTTTTTTGATGCGCATGGAGGAATTTATTCGCAAAATGCATTTCCATCTCCCATTATTCGCATTAGCCCTTTTTCGCACAAGTCAAAAACCACCTCAAGCAAGTGTAAAAACTTTTTTGCGAATTAAGGGATGTTTTTCTTCTTCGAAAATTGGTGTTTCCATTACCATTATTCTGATGCGATACTTCAAAATGTGCATAAAAACAGTGTGAAGGAAACATAGCTATTGTAGCTTGTCACTTCATCAACATTTTGCTGCACAAGCTTGTAATGCACATACCCCTTTAAGAAAAGCACAAAATAACTTTTACCAAGAGTCTTCAGTTGATCGGTCATCTTGTTGATCTTGCGTTCCAGTCTAGCATATCTGGCAAACTCGTCCATCATACCGATGGTGGACAGCTCCATCTTCATGTTTTGGATCTCCGTCCTCATCTCCATCTCTTGATCAGCATCTTTCTGGAAGATCTTGGACAGCTATGAGAACAAACACACAAGATCTTAATGTAAATCTGCTCATTCATTTTAAATTGCAACCAAATTTACTCAAAGCTTTTACACGATTACCAAAAACAGAATCAAAAGGGTGATTTACAGACAAAGACCTAGAAAGGCAAAACATTACATTTGTTAAATAAAATCTAGGTTACAAGTGCACACATTTCTCCAATTTTTCCATAGTAAGCATACTCTGAATGTCCTCATTACAATTGAAAATAACTATAATCTAGATATGCAACAGATATTAGCAAGTTTTTGGCACTATTGGTAAAGCTATGTCAGATTTTTTTTTTTTTTTAAATGTATAACATGGTACAAGTATGTTGGAGTACCACGTACGTGAAATGGTGTATTATATGAAATAATTCATTCAGTGCCGTTATATACATCACAGTAACATGGTGCTGTCATCTGATACCATGAAAGAAGTGCAGTGTGTTTTATTGGTTTGTAAAATATTATTAGCCCACATCAAACGTTTGTTTGGCACTATTAACTGTCCTCTAGTTGGTGTTTATGAATGAGTCTGACTTAGCTAAATCTAGAGATGGTGAACAGAGCTGCTTTTGTTTGCTGTGACTGTATCACAGAGCATTTATGGCGTCACATTACGACTAGTGTATGTTTAAATTATATATGTGCTTACGCGTCCCTAAAACTCTTTAGAATCAGTACTTACAAATGAAGAAATGGACGGCAGCAATGTTTTGACAAGGTTGACCAGAAACACCGAGCTCAGTACAAAGAACCAGTTAAACCCGGCAGCCATTTTCTTTTCATCAGCCGGATCCTCCCCCAATAATACAAGCCCACTAGCGCTGTTTTTTAACTGGTTCCTTACCTTAAATGTTACAATATGCTTATATTATCTAAAAATATGCAACGACAGATATCAAATATCCGAAAAGGGAATGTTTATAAGACATCACGTTTTTTTTTTCTTTCTTAAGCGTTGTGTTTCTTTAAATGCATTCAAATTATCTGAATATATAACCAATGCAATCAATACAAAATATATATTTACACGCTTACAGAAACAATACAGAAAGTGGCGCCTAAAGTATATACAAGCAAATCTGTGATTGACATCTCAACCTATCCACACAGGTACTTTGCTTTGGTTTGAAATGTGGTTGCTTTGACGTTTCAGCCAATCACCGCCGAGAAGGGGCGGAGCGTAGCTCGCATCAGGTTAGTGCTATAATGAAAAGAATATAGAAAGGGGAGATCCAATCCGGTTTCAGCTAGTTTGTGTTCCGATAGGACATTAATGCTTGCTTCGGTGTTTCTAGACCCGGTTCTTACACTTTACTTATCAGCGCGTAAGCTGTTTTAATTGATTTATTTTTGTTGTGAAAGCATACAAGATTTACGCAGCCATGCCTAAAAGGAGCAAAGTAAGTTCAAAAATATTTTTTTTTAAATTCTCTTTTATAGTATGGTTTTAATAGCCTGCGATAATTAAATATGCACGTGTTTCGAAAGCTTTATGTGAAGTTATGTGAGTGTTGACTGCATTGCTGATGTGTTGATTCGTAATCTAGGGCATGTGAGTCGGTGGCATGAATCTGGCGCCTTTTTACTGAACGTTAGAGCTGTGCTATATTCCGTCGACTGCGTGTGGATATTTAAAGAATAGAGCATTCTCGGCTTTACTTTTACATTCAAATCGTGTATAGAATGCGCAAAGTAATGATCAGACAAAGGGGTGTAACCGCGTAACGTTTGGTCGCGTTATTCCTCATGGAGAAGAGCTGCAAATGTTTTGCTTTTAACCGCGGTGTTTTAATACCTTTATAACCATATACATACGAAGCAGTCGAAGTTTTAAATTTGAGGACATTGTGGGATTTTTTTTAGACCCTTGTGTAACTGTAAATACATGTGTAGTTGTGTACGACTCCATATGGTTCTCGAGGACACACACACACACACTAACTTATAGTCTTGAGTGTCATGGCTGCCTTTGCACTAAACACACTTGAAGCCTTAACGTTATATCCAAACGAGTTTATCCCAGGTTTATTTCATAATTCGGGTTTTGCTTGCGTATCCCGCCTGAGTTTCTCACTTGACCTTTGAAACGGACTTTGTAAAGTGGCTAAAGAAAGTTATCAACACCGAGTATTTGTGTACTAAAGATATTAACCTCCCGTTTTCACTTGTCTGTTTTAATGTCGACGCAAACCTGGTTTATGGGAACAATGTGTCGATGTTTAATGTGTTTGCTCGTTGAAAGTGAATGAATTCTGTCTGTAGAGGCGGAGCTAACGCTACTGTTCCCCTCCTCCATGGGAAATAACGTTACTCAAGCACGGACATTTTTCGGTAACATCGTTACCAGCGACAATAAGTTAGCTACGCTCGACAAAGCTAATGCAAATAAATGCACGATCACCGGTTGTTTTATTTTTGTTTATTTTCCCAAGTTTGTTTTTTGTTTCGCCATGTTTTCGCGACAAAATTAATTTGTATAATAAAGGAATTGCGAGTTGAATGTATAACGCCGTACAGGACCCATGGTCTACCCCTCCCCCACGCTCACTTTTAGATAATTGCCCATCACTTGGAGGGGGTGTAGGGGTACAACACCTCCCCCCTCAGACATGATCTATGCACACATACTAACAGCTTCTGTTTCCTCTGGTACAGGCTAACAATGACACTGAAGCAGCTGGGGTAAGTTTGTTACACATACAGTCTGTTACACATACTGACAAATAACACGTTTTTGCATATAACTGCGAGACTTATTGCCTGTTTCTTTTGTTGCCTTCTCATTTTGTCCCTCATCAAATGAACAAACAGCCCAAGAGGCGGTCTGAGAGACTTCAAGGTGTAAGTTGGTTTTGTCAGTCCCTCTGAAGACATATTTTACACAATTACCTTTTTATGAGTCATATAGCTTACGCCGAATTCTGTTGTGCAGAAACCCCAAACACCAAAGTCTGAGCCCAAGCCAAAAGTGAAGGTAAGTCAGTTATCAAATTAAGATTTATTGCTATTAATAAATGTTGCCGGATGTGGCTTAACCATGTATTTTTCTGAAACGTTACAGAAGGCACCTGCAAAGGGCAAGAAGGCCAAGGAGGTAGAAAAGGCCAAACCAGAGGAGAAGAAAGAGGACGCAAAGCCAGAGACTGAGTCCGAGGAGAAAACTCCTGCGGAGAACGGAGAGACCAAAGATGAGGTAGTAAGTCATTTTATAATTAAGTTAGAATAATTCATCTAAAACTTGGTCCTCTATGGCAGTGGTTCCCAACCCTGGTCCTGGAGGCACCCCAACACTGCATGTTTTGCATGTCTCCTTAATCAAACACACCTGATTCAGGTCATCAGCTCATTAGTAGAGACTCCAAGACCTGAAACTGGAGTGTCAAAGAAAGGAGACATGCAAAATGTGCAGTGTTGGGGTGCCTCAAGGACCAGGGTTGGGAACCACTGCTCTATGGTATTGCTTGCATATTTGGCCCTGTATCTATTTGTAGTCCAGAGTGATAGTGAAAATAAATGTCAGTTAGGGATGCATCTGTGGCTATGTCTGTTGAAAACATTTATTTATTGGTTTGGTTTTGTTACAGGGGGACAATGATGAAGCAGGAGGCGAGGAGGAACAGGCCGACTAGAAAGAGGGAGCTGCTAAATAACATTTCACCAGAGCTCCCATACCTCTTTTCTTGTACAATACAGAGGAATATTTTTATTGACTATTTTCTAAAAAGCAGGTTTTTTAGTAGTTCAATATTAGAAGCTCATTTTATAGACAACGTTCAAGAGAAAAACCTTAGAAGAGGGATTCCATCTTTTCCCACTCCCAATTTTTCCTGAAGGAGATTTGCAGTCATGAAACAACTTCCTCATTATTATTATTATTATTGGGTTTTTTTTTTCTAACTCTTTCGTTTTTACAAAAAGGGAGGGGAGTGTAACGGGTTGAGACCGATAATGTGATCGTGCCATTTTTAAAGATTAAAAAAATGAAATTTCTTCAGTCTTTCAATTGAAACTGGTAGAGCTAGCCTGAGACACTAACATTCCATAGGCAATATGAGGGACCCCTGTATGTAGCCTGTATTGTATGGGAAGGGGGTTCTGTAAGAAAATGCTTTTTATTGTTTCTGGGGGGTTGGGATTGATTGTAAGCTGTATTCTATGAATTGAAACCTCTTTATTCAAACTGTTTTATGAATCAACAGCTTTGATTAACGATCCTGCTCACTAGTACTGGAACACTCATCGGATGTGTGATTTACATTGACTTTTGTCTTTGTGTGGTGATTGCATTGCAATGTTGTATAGCTGCTGTGAAAAGGTTTTCATAATTTCTATATGCAGTATGTGATGGTACTTTAAGAGGATGAAAAATGAGTTGTGTGTGTTAGCAAAGCTAATAACAGCTGTGTTACAGTGTTAAACATGCAGGTTATACAAAAAATTACTGTAATTTCATTCATGTGAACATGTCAGAAGTAGCTATATCACTCAAGGTTTTAGGTTAAAAGTACACATGTACAGTTTCTTATTATTATTTCCTTTTTTTTTTTTTTTTGCTGTATCTGTATTTACAGTTTTTGGTTTGATCTTTTTTTAGCCATTTTATCATTTTTTTTATTTAGTTTTTGGTTTAATTTACTTTTTTCTTTTCTTTGGCTTTTATCTTTTAGTTATATATATATATATATATATATATATGTATGTATGTATGTGTGT